TTGTTAACTAAATATTTAATTTGTAAGTTAAATATTTAGTTTATAAACTATGACATTTATAAATGTATGAATCATATGGTGAAAAACTGACTTTGAAAAATAAATATGTTCTTTTTTTCTTGTAAAAGGCTAAATAAAACAAAGATATTGGTGGTAATTTTTGACTGTGTAACGTTACAAATGGCACCCCGTACTGGTTTGTGTTGTTTTTCACACCTTTAACCTTCTGGCGTTTCACCGTGGATGAGTTTGTTTGACTCCGCCCCCTCCATGTTTGCTGCAGGGTTCAAAGCTCAGCTGACGTTTCTGCTCCTTTTTATTCAGGCAAACGTAAAGCCCTGAAGCTGAACTTCGCCAACCCTTCGATCAAACCCTCTACGAGATTCTCTCTAAACACGGCCGGGCCTCCGTTTCAGAACCCACACATGTGAGTTGGATCTTGGCTTCATTTGACACGTCTGGTTTTTGTTGTTGTTATTGTTGTTGTTTGTGTCCTTCAGAGAGAGGCTGAGGACTCACAGCATCGAGTCGTCTGGAAAGTTAAAGATCTCCCCGGAGCAGCACTGGGACTTCACGGCCGAGGATCTGAAAGATCTGGGCGAGATCGGCCGAGGGGCGTACGGCTCCGTCAACAAGATGGTGCACAAGCCCAGCAACACCATCATGGCCGTCAAGGTGGTCCGCCTCATCCAGGCCTCGGGGGGAGTCGTGTAAACGCAAAAACTCAAACATTATTCTTGTTTTTTCTTTTCTTTGGTCCAGCGGATTCGGTCGACGGTGGATGAAAAGGAGCAGAAGCAGCTTCTGATGGACCTGGACGTGGTCATGAGAAGCAGCGACTGTCCGTACATCGTCCAGTTTTACGGCGCTCTCTTCAGAGAGGTGAAAACCTTTAGCTGTGACAGGAAGCAGCGCTCACAGTGAAAGTTTAATAACTGGAATAAGTCTGRTTTCTCCTGGTTTCAGGGCGACTGCTGGATCTGTATGGAACTTATGGCTACCTCCTTAGACAAGTTTTACAAGTTTGTATATTGCACATTAGACGACGTGATTCCAGAGGAAATATTAGGAAAAATAACTTTAGCTGTGAGTCCTTTTCTTCCTTCTTTATACTTTTCTGTTAAACGTATCCATCACTAAACCGGTTTTTTTCTGCAGACTGTGAAAGCTCTTAACCACTTAAAGGAAAACTTGAAAATTATACACCGAGGTAAGAAGTCTGCCAACACTTCAGATACTACTTTACAAACTTATAATAGCCACTTTAGGCTGGTTTCAGCTTTTATTTTTTAGCTATTTTAAAACAATTTACAAGGTTTTTGTCATGTTTTTGCTCATTTAAAAAAGTTAACTATTCTGTTAATTTAATTTGAATATATTTCTAGTTCTGCTTTTTTAAAACTTTGCTAATTTCAGATTCCTTCGGCTTCTATTTGTTGATTTTAGCTTTTTTTAGTTTTAGCTATCATTCTGACTTTTTTGCTATCTTCTGCTAATTTTAGCTTTGTTGTGCTTCTTTCAGCTACTTTCTGCAAATTTCAGCTGTTTTCAGTGATTTTTATGGCTTGTTTCAGATAATTTAAACTTTTTTGTGATTTCAACTACATTCTGCTTATTTCAGCTGTTTTTTTGTGTTTTTAGCTACCTTTCAGCTTTTGTCAGCTAAATTCACTTTTTTGTAATCATTTCCACTTCTCACTGCTTAATTAAGCAAACATTCTTTTTCTTTGTGCTTATTTCAGCAATTACAGCTACTTTAGGCTGGTTTCAGCATTTTTTAACTATTTCAAAACAGTTTACAATTTTTTAAAGTTAAATTTAAAAATTTTTACTAGTAATTTTGACTATTATTTCTGTTCATTTTTATTTTAATAGTTTTCTTGTTTTGCCTTTTTTCTTTTTTAGCTATTCTGCTAATTGTAACTTTGTGCTTCTTTCAGCTGCTTTCTGTTAATTTGAGCTCTTCTGTACTAATTTCTTTGTTTAATTTGTTGTGTGTGTGTGTGTGTGTGTGTGTGTGTGTGTGTGTGTGTGTGTGTGTGTGTGTGT